CTTGGAAAGAAAAAGTGGGTGACATGCAGTACAATACCAATTCATTCATCTCATTCTGCCATCCTTACTACAGGAATATCGGTGCCTCACTAAACAGAAATATTTCTTCATTCATCTAACAAATGCATACAGTACACATAGGGCAAACCAAAAATAAGCAAGGCAAGAGGAATCTTGAGTCAACTGGAATCTCGAATCATTGAGTCAACTCTGTAGGAAAAGCTAAACTTTTGATTAAGTATTTATTGCTTGTGACAAAATTTTGAAAATGGCTCTTTAGGCAAACTTGTCTAAAATGTCCTTAAAAGTATTCTAAAGCAAATAAAATAGAAAGATCTACCTACAAGTATATAAGAAATTTTGTTAGTCACAAAATGCTCAGTGATAATGATTTTTATAAATATAAAATTAAATCAGAAGTGCCATTAAACAAATTAGTTTATAAATAAATCTTTTAATTGTGAACTTTAGATTGAGGCAAGCTATTTATTAGGTGAATAGATTTTAGGCAAATTAGTTTTCAGTAAATTTGTTTCCTACACACATATTGGTCTTTTACTTTTTACATGTTGGGGGCATAGAAATAGAACCTGGAGACCATGCCAGTGACCTCTCAGGACGGACATCCTGGCCATCGAGTGCAAGAATATCCCGGCCTCCGGCAGCATCATACTCAATGCAATTTAGCACGCTGAATCAGTGACTTTCAACTCCCCATGTATGGCAAGCACCTGGGAAGCATTTAACATCCAAACACCTGGCCCAGAGATTCTGACTCAGTAGGTCAGGGTGAAGCCTAGGGATAGAAACTTCTAGCAAACATCAAAGGACCTACAGGTGGTCCAAGAACTCTGCTCTAAGGATTAGTGCCATTTTTGTTTGTTTGTTTTCAAAAGACAAGAGTAAGAGACTAAGAGTAATTTTCAAACACGGCTTTTTAAAAATATAAAGCTGGACCACCACCACCACCACCACCCCACCCCTACCCTGCCACCATGACCCCACATAGGATCCCTGAGGAGGGGCGTGAAGGGGTCCACATCAATATGATCCTAATGCACCCAAGACTGAGAATCATGGGGCGGCAAGGGCTCTCAGCCATGAAGAGCTGAGCCTCACTGGTGCTCCAGGCAGGGCACCCTGTGGGGAGTGCTGATGTGCACACCAGAGGAGCCATCCAGGAGCTGGTTGAAAAGACAAGGAAGCAGCTGGAACCAGCACAAAATCAAGGCAGAATTAAGTGGTGATGCAGGAGTTCAGGAGAGGAAAGGCTGCAAGGGAGAAGAAATTAGGTCTTCCTTTGTGCTTCGAAGGGTGAATGCGATTTTGATCATCATACTGGATCAGGGATGGTTTGGTTGAGGAGCAGGTGGAGGCAACAGAGGCCCTGAAGAGGGAATGAGCCTGATTATTGGGAAAGCCAATGTGGAAACTGGCCTGATGGGAGAGGGCAGAGTGGACCAGGGATACCTGGGAATCAGAACGGGGATGACCCAGAGTCACACTTGGACTTGCAGGGTTGACTGGATTAAGGAGCCATCATGGGACCTCAGGCATGACTGCGCTTTAAGGAAATGTCTGGTACAAGGCAGGCATTCATGAGAGGGCTTCGACTCTGTCACCTATGCAATAATGGGAGACGAGGTCCCAGGCTGGTGTCATGATCAAGGGAGCAGGAAATACAGACGTTTGTGAGACACAGAAAGATAAAGAGATAGACAGAAATTCAGAAAGACAGATCAGGTACAGCTAGCTCTAAATCATGCCTCCAGATCTGTTATAAGGAATGACTTTGTGTTAAGACGTCATAAAGATATAAAAATAGGTACTGCCAAGTTGCGAAACATCTGAGCTGCTTAGGTCCTGCTAGGTTATCCACAATGATGGAGAAAGATGGGGAATGCAGAGCTAATTTACTGAAAGCCAACAATGCTACCTGATTTTAACCATTTTCTTAATTTCCTTTCTTTTTATCAAATCTCCTGAGCCAAACATTATTTTAAATGATTCATTTTCATTTTCTATCCCTATTTCATTTATGACCGAAGGAAGATTAAGGCAGGAGAGGGCAAGAAAAGGTTCTCCAAAGTCCCAGCCTGTCTTTCCTGGGACAATAAAAGTAACTGTCTCCACTAATTTGGTCCCACTCATCACTTCTTCCTTCCCTGTTTTGATGGATTCCTGAGATACACTTGGCTGTTTTGCCGGTGGTGAAACCAAATAAGTTTTTCTCTGGAAGTAGTGACAAGTAATACTTTGGAGGAGTGTGTGCGGGAAGTTAGAGCTTAGGAACATAGGTGGAACCCAATGTAATCACTTTCCCTTCCTGGGCGGACAGCTCCATCCTGCCGTCTTGGGTCTACTTTCTCCTGTTTAAGCCGATGAGTACGTAGCTGCCTTAGACAGACAACTAGACCCACAAATGAGAGAATCGTGGATAAAGGGTCCCTGGATGAAAAACTTTAACACTTCCAGACACATCGCATTTGCTAGGTTTGTGCTAAACCTTCCAAGAGCCACGGGAGTGCACCCTGCAGTAACAGGAACGGGACAAGGGTGGTGAGTTTCTGCATCTCAGCCACTTTGAGATTAGCACCACTTGTTATAAAGGGTGGTTACATTGTGTCCTGTGCATGGGGATGGCAATGAACAGGCTGAGCCTTCAGGGGAGCATGAGGGAGCCTTGTGGTTATGACTGATTCACATTCTGATGTTGCGGAACAATCTTATTAGGTTGTCTGGAGTTAATAGGCTTTTCTGTGTCTCTGCAGCAGTTTAGTGCCCATATACCCACAGCTGCATGATCCCAAAACTGTAATCTATTTTATGCTCATATCTGCCTCCTAGACTGTCTCTTTCTGGGGAAGGTGTGAATTCATCCCACACCAGAGCATCACAGTTTCAGCTTATTCCGTAAACATGTTTTGAGCCTCTTGCTATGTGAGCTGCTCAGGATATAATGACAAATTATTCACAGTCTTTGCTCTCCAGGAAAGACAGCTCTGTAAACAGGAAGCACAGTTCGGTGTCTTCAGAGTCCAGTGCCATCATCTGTAAAAGTGAGATAATAATGGTGTCTACGTCACAGGCTTGTGGCGAGGATTAAATTGGTTAGATATGAAAAGCACTTAGAACAACATCTGACATGTAATAAGCCTGGTGTGTTTGCTCTAATGTCCTAGTGACATACCACACACCCACAGTAGGTCTAATGGGTGCAGAATAGAAGGAGTTATGTAATGATCAAGGAAAGTTTTCAGGAGAGGTCATTTTTGAACTGGATATTGAAGGAAGAGCAGGAATTGATCAAGATGACAAAACAGAGAATATTCTAAATTAAAGGAAAGTAACAAAGGCCCAGGGGTATGGAAAGATCAGATGGTTTGGGGAACTCAGTTCAGGAATGAGGGTGGATGCCAATGGGTAATGGTGAGAAACAGGCCTGATCCAAAAGGAGGAGGAGCCTTGAGTGCTGACCTATGAAATTCTCTATGTTTTCTCGGGTTTCTCTATGAAATAAGAGAGGTGATCACTGAGGGTGGGGAGCCAGGAAGATCACAATGGCCCTGATGGAGAATGTGAGGGACAAAGGCCAGCTGATAGGACTTAGCTGAGGGTGGAAACTGAATTTGTGGGTGAACAAATAAGTAGAATCTTATTCTACAGAAAAAAGCAGTACGAGTAGTAAGAAAGACTCTGATCAGAAGTAAGATGGGTGAGGTTATTTCCAATTGGAGGAATCAGAGCAGACTTCACAGAGGTGAAGCGTGGACATGAAGAGATGAACTGAACAGCAGACCATGGAAGCTTTGACTGATGTGTCAGGAAGTTGGGCTTTATTTCTAGGCCACTGGTGGGTTTTAAACTGAAGAGTGACATGATTGGATTTGTGTCATTTTAACAATATTGTGGTATTTAATCTGGAAAAAGTCTATACTCGAAGCAGACAGAGAAAAATCTAAGGCCTCAAAGACCAAGAGTCAAATCCTGCAGTGCTCCCCAACGTGAGCACCAGGTGTGAAGTCGAGAGTGCTTCACCTGCCTCGTACATTTGCCAGTATGCCCCGCCCCCCCCCCCAAGCTGCCATGTTCTCCCAGGCAGGCTGCAACCCACGGGGCTCAGCCATGTCCCCCCGAGTGCTAGATAATTTCCAGAAGTGTGGGGTACAGCAGAGGACTACAAGGTCATCCCAAAGACACCCTGAGGTATGGTCTGACCATAAGCTCTCCTTAATTTGGAGCATCTCTGGGAAGCTTCAGTGGTTCTAAGCCATTGTCATAGAACCAGTGGGTTGAGTGTGTGCCTGTTTGACCAGGCCACAGAGTGCCTGTTGGAGCCTCCCTACAGTTTGAACAGCTCCCTGTGGATGTCATATGAGTGGGCTGGCCAGCCCGGCCACCATGCTCGAACCTCGCTCCCACCGGGGGCACCTGAGCTGTCTCTGTAACAATCCTCACAAAACTTCCTTGCAGGGGGGGTGATTGTCCCCAGGTGACAGATGAAGGAATGGAGATTGGCAGCATTAAAGTCACTTTGTGGAGGGATAAGCTGTTAATAGACTCGAATCTAGGGCTGGCTTCTAATCGCATGCCTGTTAGAAAGTGCCAACAGAAAGGATATGTTCACATTACAGTGGCCAAATTGTAGGCATCATGGCATATCCTAGAAAACTCTTTATAAGTCCACAGGTTTCCATGAGCAGAAGAGTACATTGCATTCGTTCCTCCTTCCTGCTGCTGGCAAGCCTCAGCCTGACAGCCATGTGACAGATGCCACTAATGCCTGGGTCCCTCAGGGCCCATGAAGCCAGCATACTTTAGGCATGAAATGAGATAGTGGGAACTAATTGAGTAGCACTCACCCTGCTGGTGTCTTCAGTGGATGCATATTATCTCAGGGCCTCTCAATGGCCACAGTCCCAAGGTGGGCACTTGCAGTCTTCTGGGTTCCTTCCAATGCCCTAAAACTCATATCTGTCTCTCACCTCCTTCTGCTGCAGATCCTGGCGCCCCTGTGAAATTGCCTTGTCTGCCAGTGAAACTGTCGCCTCCTCTACCTCCAAAGAAAGTCATGATCTGTATGCCTGTAGGGGGGCCAGATCTCTCCCTGGCATCCTACGCAGCCCAGAAGAGTGGCCAGCAGGGCGGGGCCCAGCACCACCACACGGTCCTGCCGTCCCAGATCCAGCACCAGCTGCAGTATGGCAGCCTCAGCCAGCACCTCCCCTCCACCACAGGGTCCCTTCCCATGCACCCCTCGGGCTGCAGGATGATAGACGAGCTGAACAAAACGCTGGCCATTACCATGCAGAGGCTGGAAAGGTAATTGGGTGGGTGGGGTGAGGGCTGGAGGGGAGAGCTTGGATGGAGAGGGGGAAGAAGGAACGTTGGGGATTTGACCTTGACAAGGGGATGCGAAGACCAGGACAAGGGCTCGTCTCACTGCAGAAAAAAGTTTGAAGGTAAAATCAGACCAAAATCTGAATGTCAAAGAAAGTATGGAAGAAAAAAATGATGTTGACAATTGCCAAACTACAGAACAATCACATTTATCAAATAGAGCAAGTAACATATATATGCTAGCACATATTATATTTCTATAAGCCTTAACATTTTTTGAAAGCATCTACACATAATCATTAATAGTAGCTATCCCTAGGACAGGAAAATGGGGAGAAAATCTGCTTTACTGTTTCATGTCTTTCTACACTGTTTAATTTTTTTATATATTACTTTTATGATATTAAAAAAAGTCCATTTGAAGGTCAAATAATAAAAGATAAGACTAGCGGGAAGATGGTAGAACATCAGAGGGATGGGAATGATGGAGAGGTGTACCCTGGTTCTTGCCAATGGAGGAAGTAGAATACTGTGGTCTGGTTAGATGCATATGAGCCTCTAATATTTAGCAACAACTGGTGTAGCCCCCTATTTCACCGGAATCTGTTCCCAATAGCATTGCTGGGAGATCTGATAAGAGGACCCCACGGGCAGACCTACAGCAAAGACCGTGACTCCTCACCATCTAGGGAGCCCTCTCATGCTGGTTTCTGTATTCAAATACCACTCCTCTTGAGCCCAATAGGTGGCTGAAATTTCCTACTATGATTCCGGGGCACATTGCTTGACCTCGTTCCCTGACATGACAAGAAGAAAGTGGCAATGTGGCGTGAAAGGTGTGTCTGAGCTGGGATCTTGAATGCCTGTCCCAGACTAGTGACTGCTGTTAACTGGGTCCTATGGATGGGAAAATTGAAGTCTGGGGTACCCAGCTTATCACCAGACAGAGAGCCAGAGACAAAATGGACACCATCAGGAGCTTTCTGTCATTTCCTGTCTCTCAGTGGCTTTCTCCCTTCCTGCTTCTCAGCCAAGCATTCTATTTTGGAGAAATTGATGAATCCAAGGGAAGTTGCTGCCTGCTGCTAGGAATTCTGACTTGATTGCACCACATTAAAAAAAAAAATGTATTTGGCCCCTTGCCATCAATTTCAACCACTGTTATTGTTAATGAGGACAATAATTAAATGGATGGCACTTTTTAGTTGATCACACACCTTTATTATCGTTCTTAACCCTCATATTGCCTAAGAAGACCGAGTAAGTGGAGAAACTGTGGAAAGCTAGGTGAGTTCCTGAAGGCCACTATTCAGTGTCCCACAAATGTCTTATTGCTCATCTGCAACCAGATACGTACAGAAACTGAGAGCAAGCCTTTATACACTTTATAGCAATTTTACAGATTAATTTTATGTCTGTCAAATCCTATAATAAAAAAGTTTTACTTTTTCTATATTTTATATTTTACGAAAGCATTAATTTGTGATGGATTGAAAATTAAAATATGCAAATCAACCAACCAACCCACAGAACAGGTCCTTCCCCACAGACATTTTGGAAAGCACTGCCCTGGGTAGCAAGTGGGGGCCACACCTTCGAGCCTGGCTCTTCTTGCTGCAAATTCAGAACTCTTTCTATTCTGGTACAATTGCTTTTCTAAAGATAGCTAACAGTCAACATAATTTCCTATCCCCACATCTACTGTATATCCAGTATGTTTTTGTATCTTTCAGGAGCTTTAAAGAATTGAAAAAGGTACTCATGACAGTATATTAGGAGGATATCGCTAAATACATTTCCCCTTAAAGCATACCATTTTAAAAGGTTCGGTTGAAAGTACTAACGCATAAGTTACACAGTATCCTTGGTTGAGTAATTCCTGTGTGTATTTGTAGAATATTTCAATTGACTATAGACCAATAGGTAGGTCTATTAACCTAAACTGGGTCAGGTTCTTTATCGAAATGAATCAAAAAGAACAAATGTAGAGTGGTGGTGGGGAGATGCTGTGATCTGGGAGGAGAGAGTGAGCAGGAGGACAGCATGATCTTGGCAGCTGAGCCAAGGCAACCCCTGGGCTGTCGTTACCTCCTCTGTCTGCCTCCCCTCTTATCCTAGGTCAAGGCAGGGTTGTTCTGCTAGACCAGCCAGGACATGAGGAGCTAATGTATAATTCACTTTGACAAGATCGCCCTCCAGAAAAATAGAGGCCTTCTTCCCAGACAAAGATGGAGAGATTTTTCTGAGCATCCACATTGTATTCCAGGAGTCCTAGAAGGATCTGGGAGCAGAGCAAGGTCACAGACCACCTGTCAGTTTAGTGCGGGAACCGCTGCTATCTCCAGTGACATTACCCACTTTTCTTTTTACTTTCTATAAATTTTTTCTGTTGCCTGTCAACATGACTTCATTCTTGTTCTGACCAGGTTTGGTTAAGAGAGAAACAGTTATTTCTCTCTTCTCCTGGCAATTTCCAGTGACCTCAAAAAATACTGCAGGGAAGAAGAAACATTACCAAACACTTAGGCATTCTGCCCACCAAGTCTCTGAGGTCCCATAGAACGTCACCTGTTGGGCATTAGCCTAGACCTAAGGTCTGATGCTGACGAAACAGTGTAGGTAACATGAAAATTAAAGGAAGAATTGAACAGCTTTAATGTCTGACTTTAAACCATAAATTTGAATAGTCATCTTACAATTAAAAGGGACCTTGAAGCCCATCCAGGCAACTAACTTACTGCCCGTTCCAGTGTTCCTATTTGTCTTCTAGTCTCTACAAGAAAGGGAACCTAGCTAGGTCCCAAGAGAGCCCACCCCCTTGTCGAGAAGGCCTGATTATTACAAAGTTCTTTCTTATATTAATCTAAAAGTCTTACTTAGTATAACCCCTCTGATCTCATTTTTAATCTTCTTTTCTTATGAAAAGCTTCAAAATCTTTGAACATAGCTACCATTTAGTTTATCTAAGGGCTTCCTTCTTCCATGCTAATAATCCCAAATTCATGGAATTATTCATCGAGATGGTTTCTAGACCCTTTACTATCTTCTCTCAAGATTGTGCTAAATCTGTTCTAATGTGTCTGAAATTCTTAATCCTTACCCTAATCTGGACCCTGCTTGAAGACACTAAAAAAATAACATGTAGTTAAATAGTTACAAAATTGGGTCACCAGATTTGGTGGGACAGGTACAGAAGGAGAGAACTAGAGATCAGCAGAAGCAAATTTAACGAGAGTTCCATATTTATCCAAAGTCATAGGGCTGCCCTAGGCAGCATGGCCAAGCTGGAGGCAGCCCCCACGTCATGGCTGAGTAAATAGGTTCCAGACTCTAACTGCCAGTGTTTCAATCTCAGATATACTGCTTCTTTTTGCCTTTGATTCTTCATCCATAAAACAGGAATGATAACACCACCAACCTCATTAGAGTTGTTTGTGAAGAACAAATGACTTAATCCAAATAAATCATCTTATTGGATGGCATAACTTAGTAAGGGTCCAATAAATGGTAGTGAATATTAAGCGAAATTGTTTAGCCCACAAATTTGCCTTCGGTGACCATATATTTAACCCCCTTCACCCTTATCTACCTCCCCCCTCTCTACTTCCCTCTGGTAACCACTAAACTGTTGTCCATGTCCATGAGTCTCTGTTCATTTGTCTTATTTGTTTGTTGCTTTCAGGATTTTGTTGTTGTTGTTGTCATAACAAACTAAAATTTTATTTTTTATGTTGCATTTTTAAAATTTTATTTTATTATTAGTTTCAAGTATATAGTACATTGGTTAGATATTTATATAGTCTATAAAATGATCCCCCCAATTGCTCTTTCTCTCCTCTGGCTCTCCATGCATTAATGCTAACTGTATTCCCTATGCCATGCTCCCCATCCCTGTGACCATCTATCAACTGCTAATTTGTACTTCTTTAATCCTTCACTCCATTCTCCCATCCCCCCAATCCCACTCTCCTCTAGCCATCACCAGATAGTTCTCTATATTTGTGAGTCTGTTTTTGATTAGTTTGTTCTTTTTGTTCCTTAGATTCCGCATATAAGTGAAATCATATGGTATTCATCTTTCTCTTTCTGACTTATTTCACTCAGCATAATAACCTCTAGGTCTATCCATGTCATTGCAAATGGTAGGATTGCATTTTTTTAATGGCTGAATAGTAGTCCGTTGCATGTATGAACCATAACTTCTTTATCCAATCATCGGTTAATGGGCATTTAGGTTGCTTACATATCTTAGTTATTGTAAATTGTGCTGCCATGAACATAGAGGTGCATAGACCTTTACAAATTATTGTTTTGGTTTTCTTTGGATAAATATCCAGAAGTGCAATTGTTGGATCAAAAGTTATATCCATTTTTAATTTTTTGAGAAACCTCCAGACTGTTTTCCATAGCAGCTATACCAATTTGCAAAGCCACCAACCGTGTATGAGGGTTCCCTTTTCTCCACATCCTCACCAACATTTGTTCTTTGATTTATTGATGATAAATCAATAAATCCATTCTGACAGGTGTGAAGTGATATCTCAATGTGGTTTTAATTTGCATTTCTCTGGTGAATAGTGACCTTGTATCTTTTCATATATATATATATTGGTTATCCATATTTCCTCTTTAGAGAAATATCTGTTCAGGTCTTCTGCCCATTTTTTAATTGAATTGGTTTTTTTGTTGTTAAGTTGTGTGAGTTCTTTATATATTTTTGGATATTGACCTCTTATCAGATGTATCATAAGCTAATATCTTCTCCCATTCAGTCGGTTATCTTTTCGTTTTGTTGATGGTTTCCTTTGCTGTACAAAAACTTTTTAGTTTGATGTAGTCCCATTTGTTTATTTTTCCTTTGTTTGCCTCACCTGAAGAGATATATCTGCAAAGAAATTACTGTTAGCAATATCAGAGAGTTTACTGCTTATGTTTTCTTCTATAAGTTTTATGGTTTTGGGTCTTACATTTAAATCTTTAAT